GACAATACATCGCATTGTGCGGCAGCGCTTAATCCGCTTTATGGGCAACGAAGGGTGTTGTATTTATACAGCGTGTTGGTTTTTTGAATTGCAGTTGCACAATAAGGTGTTCTTATTTAATTCTGTTTGATGTTTGATGTTATCATTTTTTTCTATTGTATTTTTGTGAATCTAAATTGAAGTCATTATTATTTCTACTTACACGAAATGAATTATATTGTATTTGTTGTACTTTTTTAGAACTGGATTTTTCTAGTTAAATATTTCAGGCAACATATCGTTACATTACTTAATGAGTACCTAAAAACTCATAGAATCTACCAAAATATTAACACTTAACAAACATACGTCACACAAACACCTATTACTTAGTCCTTAGGGCTGCCGCAACCCCTGAATACCACAAACAACATGTAATGCGACATTTCCTGCCCTTCCATACAAAACGTGTTTGAAGTGCCGTGATGTTTATCATGTCACACAAAGGAACAAAGTTTCCACTTACTAACGCTAAACTGACAATACATGGATTAGGAGGCCTTAGGAGGGCTTAGAATTACCGATTACCACCGGTAACTTCAACCTTCTTACGTATGAATAGGCAGCACATGTCCAGAATTAAAAAAAAGAAGTGGTGCTCCTGTCGCTTTATGGGTCGGTACTAAGAATGATTGTGTGAATTGAATGTTTGCTACAATTGTTTTCAGAAAACTAAAGCTGTCATTACATTCACAGTTCAAGGGAATTAGCATTTGGTAAAGATGACCGTTATTAAGATTTTTTTATTAAATAAAAATAAGCATTGCCGATTTTGATTTTTTCACTGACCCTACTATCAAGTTACTATATAAGAGTATTTATCACTTTTTACATGCTATCAGACAACGAAACTAATTATTAAATTACATAATATAACATTACTCCTTTTGTCTCCGAAGAGGTATGCAGAGGTACACATTACGGCACTTAATGCCACTGTACAATGTAACACCCACTTTTCACTATTTATGTTATGAGTCCCATGTAATAGGGGGTGAGCCTATTGCCATATACCGGGCACAATTCCAGACCCCGTGCTAGTACTGAGATTTTTTTTTAAAACCCCGTGATAGGTACTTTGCCCGACTAGGGGAATTGAACCCGAGACCTCTTGCCCGGGAGTCGCATTTGCGACCACTGCACTGGGCCAACGAGGCAGTCCTGTAATTACTAAATTGTCATAGCAAAATCGTTGCGCCATATCTACTGCACACTCTACTAATTTAAAAACCCCAAACAGGTTTTAGTTCTTTGTACACACATCACATCACATCACATCACATCACATCACATCACATCACATCACATCACATCACAGTACATATAAAATAATGTGATAATCTACTTTGTTATCAGCAGCTCCCATCTGATCAACTGATGCGTGAAATTGATTTCTAACAAAGAATTTTATTTATTTGCAATGTTGTGTGAGACTATTTTAAGTGAGGGTATTTTTATTGTACTCACAAGCTTTATATATGTAGTATCCATCTTTTAAAAATGTGATTGTTTGAAGATCTTAATAATTTAACCACTAATAAAACATTATTTACCGCACGACCTAAGCCCATTGGATACTATTTAAGTACCTAGATACTTTTTTAGGAGGGAAAATCATCCATTGACTTCCCCCGCCCGCGTGAGGCGGGAAGGACTGTCGGACTCTTACTGACTAAAAACCACTCCGATCCTACTCCTGCACTTCGAGCCGGAGCCCCAGCAACCCGTTAAGCCCTCCGCGGCTCACTTAAACAGATACTTACATAATTTTTGAAATACAAGCAACACGCTCAAATAAAATCAGGAACATTGTGACTTGAACAACCTAACAAAATACACACGCTGGCCAGTAAACGAAGAATTAAGAAACAGTACAGGCCAAGCAATAACTACACACATAAATCTCCAAACCAACCTTCTAGATTACAACACGACAGACAATTACTTGACACCGAAAAAAATTAAACAGCACTTAGGAATTCTGTCTAAGCAAAACCCATCAAAGATGCGTGATTCTATGTACAAAGTTATACAAAAACAGAACTACATAGCCTTGCAAATAAAGCACCATCAAGTACCAATTAAGAGCAGAATCGCATGCAAAGTACTGACAACTAGATGGTAAATACCATCAGAAGAGTCCACACAAATAAGTATAACTTGACCGTCAAGTGTGCGAAAAGATCATACAAGGCAGGACCATGATACACTGGTTCTGTACAGCTTTATATTTGTACATCCATCTTGACTGACAGCCTACCAGACTGATGGTATATATTAGCTATAAATTATGTATAATTACCATTATTTATTACTCGCTTTCAGAACGTTGTTCTGTCTGATTTTAATACTCTGTGCTCTTGTGTAGATGTTTATCTTGTGTGATGGTTTGTACGTGTGTACTCGATGAAAATTGTCTTAATCTAGACTTTAATTGTGTTCTTGGAATTAACGTATAACGTAATATTTCGAGATATTTTGCATTGTGTGTAGGTACCTCATCTTGTTGTCCTGTTAATCCTAGTGTTATATATGTCAATCAAGGAATATAAAATAGTCAATGCTCAAAATGGTCAGTAGACACAAATATCTCAATTGACACAATAACGAGAAATTCGTGATCTGCATTGTCACTCCATACCAGACGTTTTTACGCATTTAAAGCATGTTTTTTCTAACAAAATAGAAATGAACGTAAATTACGTACAGACAGACATACAGACTGACAAACATTTGGTACATTTAGTATGTAGAAGGCTGGCTGGAATTAGATAGGATTGCCATTATCTTACATTGTCTATTGGATAGCATCGTTTGTTGTGATTCACGTCGCAACGGGAGTTTTTGTGGAATTTATTTTACGATTATTTTATACAGAATGTTTTGTAGTTGGCTTAGCTTACAGAGAACTAACAATCTATGTTCTTTTGATACCTATGTTAACTTTACTTCTCCCTTGTGCTCTTCCAACTAGATTGTGTTGCATCGTATGTGATGCTTAACTAAATTTTTCATGTACATAAATTACAATTATGTGTTCACCTTGGTAAAAAATGGTTAATGTAAAATTTGTACCTATAAAGCTAACCACAAAACAGTTATAACTTAGTTACGAAATTCTTGAAGGGCTTCTAAACAGGCAATAATTTTCTGCAATATTGGCAACAAATTGTACAGCCATATTAGGTATCTATATTATCAGCTATACATGGTTATGACGAAATTATTTGTATATGGGTACCTAGGTACAAAGTTACCGGCCACAGTGTTATGAACTGTCAGAACCATATTCCTCGCTTAAAAAAGAACTTAATTAGGCATGTTATATTTATTATATTGTTAAAACATTCTGTCTACACATCCTATTACAATTTCCCATATCGATAACCCAGTTCAAATTGAAGCACGTCGTCAACTGTAATTAATGTCGACTCACCTTAGCATTAAAACACAATTATCGACATGACGCGTTCGACAAAGCTGCTATAATTACTTGAATATGAACGAAGCTATTCCTTAATGCCACTAATTACGATCAAATTAATACTACTAATTGTTCAATCGATTTTGTGTATGGTGTCAATGAGGTGAGATTTCGTAATATAGGTCTTAAGATGTCTTGGATCATTATTTATTAACCGCGAGGTTGCTAAACATAGGCCGAACCGTTGATTTTCGGATAGAAGAGGAATAAGGCTAAGGACACACGGCGTGATTTTCTCCCGCACCCACCGAAATGGCAGGATTTTCAAAAGACAGTTTCTGCAGTTCCACAGTCGCCACGGTTGCGATTATCATGCATCATCATTATGTAAACTTGGTGGTTGATTATCACAAGACGGGCGGTAAAACAATCATTTGAGTTCCAGACTGGCCCTACGTCTCATTGCAACCGATCGAAGAGCGCGCGGGTGGAACCCGTCGTAGCTGTGGTACCGCGTGGTGAATATTACTTCGATTTTTTACATACATATCTGCATTCTACTCTGCCTCATTGGCCGGTCGGTCGCAAGTGCGACTGCCGGGCAAGGGATCTTGGTTTCGATTTCTGGGTCGGGTAAAGTATTACTGGGTTTTTAAAAAAATCTCAGTAGTAGCAGGAAGTCTGGAATTATGCCAGGTATATGGCAATAGGCTTACCTCCTATTACATGAGACTAATAACATGAATAGTGAAAAGTGGGTGTTGCATTGTACAGTGGCATTAAAGGCCGTAATGTGCTCCTCTGCCTACTCCTTCGGGGGTTAAAGGCGTAATGATATGTTATGTTAATGTCATATCTGCATTCTACAAAGGCTACGGGCCCGCAACTGCGGCGGGCGCCGGAGGGAATCGCGCCGTGGGTCCTCAGCCTAAGTGGTTTTTATAAAAATCGCAGAATAATACTACTATTTAACCTTAGAGATGTAATGAACTCCCATTAGCGCCTGCCGTACTATATATAGTACACCACTTTAAACTACGATAAAACTTACAAAGTTAATATTTTTGCTCTGGCAATAATTTGAAAGGGTCCCTAGCAGACCTTGCAGTAGGTGTATACATAAATCGAAACGTAATTATTAAATTGTATGAGGGTAATTTGAGATTGTGTATCAGTGATTTTTTCGTGTTCTTCGGTGAGTACTTCTTTATTTTATTTACATGGTTTAAGTTATTCAAAAAGTCAGAAAAGGTCCTTTTTTACTTTATAACATTATAACCTAACATAATAAATATCAAAAAGTTAATTTCATTTATAGACTTTGATAATATAACTCCCAAACTGCTGCTGTACTAACTTTAGTACATTGGGCGCTTGACAACGTAATGTAAGACATTACAATATGAACATGTTTTATTAGAATTTTCAGTCATTTGCTCATTATATTTACTTGTGGCATTTGTTTTAATTTTCAATAACGTATTACCCTTTTTCTGGGTTTTCAGGAGACAATAGGAAACCACTATACATTTATAAAATGGCTTATAGACATACTTTCACACAAGAAAATAGCTATTTTGGTTTACAAGAAGCTTTACACGATATAATCAACCAGGATAGTGACGACGATGCTACTTATGATGTGATTATGTTGCCACCTGATCCAGACGTTGTCACTGATGAAGAGGAAGGTGGTGAGGATAACTTATATCATAACGAATTACCTCAGGATGTTCCAGGTAACGTAGAAGTGGTTACTCACAGACGTTCTTGTGCTGTCGAGGATGAATGGAGCACCGACGATGATGAACCTCTCACAACAATGGCATCATCGTCTTCGCAAAGTGCGCCAAAGAGAAGAAAAGTTGATGGAGTGCCAACTTGGAGAAAGTGTGTGCCTGTTTATTCCATTTCTCGGTCTATTACAGAATCTGCAGCTCTTGAAGAACGATGTTCTAAAGTTTCAGATATCCTAAAAGACATGACCCCTGTGAAAGTCTTTGAATATCTTTTTGACGACGAAGTGCTAGAACTTATCACATCACAAAGCACAATATATGCTGGGCAAAACAATAGGCACGATAAATCTTTCAGTAAAGAGGAACTTCGAAAATTCCTAGGCATACTTATACTTTCCGGTTACCACAAATTGCCTAGCGAGAGGTCGTACTGGAGCTTAGATGATGATCTAGGTGTAACATTAGTTTCAGAATGTATGTCAAGAAATAGATTCATGGAAATAAAAAGAAATCTGCATTTTGCAGATAATACTTTGGCTAATAACTCTAATGATAAAATGTTCAAATTGCGGCCACTTTGTAATGTTTTACAAAGAAAATTTTGTCAATTTGGGATGTTACATAAAGATTTATCGATAGACGAATCAATGGTCAAGTACTACGGACACCATTCGGCCAAGCAATTTATTATGGGTAAGCCTGTGCGATATGGATATCGTAATTGGGCGTTGACTAGTTACGATGGCTATTGTTATACATTTGATGTGTATTGCGGTAAATCGTTAGAAGCTACTACTGATCCCCTTGGCTCTCGCGTTGTGAAGACTTTGCTGAACAAAGCGCCAACAAAACCTGAAGAACACGTCGTCTATTTTGACAATTTTTTTACCAATTACGATTTGCTTGTTGATTTGAAGAAGCTCGGTTACAGGGCTACTGGTACCTTACGAGAGAACAGAACCAAACGGTGTCCTTTGATTACATCTAAGGAGATGCGGAAAAGGCCTAGAGCGGAATACGACCACAGATTTGATAAGTCTAACGAAATTTTATTAGTTAGGTGGAAAGACAATAATGTTTGTACTATTGGAACAAATTTCGATTACTTAGAACCACTTGGAAAAGTCAAAAGGTGGTGTCCCATAAGGAAACAAAAAGTAGACGTAGACATACCGCATGTATTCCAAAATTATAACAAGGGGATGGGCGGGGTTGATCAGATGGATCAGTCCATCGGACTTTACCGAATTGGGGTGAGAGGAAAAAAGTGGTGGTGGGTCTTGTTCACTTATATGGTGGATATGGCAATTTCCAATGCATGGAGACTACATTGCATTGCAAACTCAGATAGTCGAATGGATCAGCTAGCATTCCGCAGACATATTGCACGTACATATCTGAGTAATAAAAAGCCCTATAAGAATAGACCGTCTTCCTCTAGGATTGATGGAGAAGAAAGAACAAACAATGGCCATAATCCGGAAAAAATACCAAACCAACTTAGATGTACTGTGTGCTCCAATAGAGTCAAAACCGCTTGTGGAAAGTGCCTGAAAACACTGTGTCTGGATAGAGGATGCTTTGCTAAATATCACTCTTAGGCGCCCATTGTACTAAACTTAGTACACCCCAAAAAACCCAACTTTTTATAAAAACATTTTTTTCTTTATTTTTTTTTGTTCATAAGAAAGGATTTTTGTGCCGTAAATAAACATTGATTATGTAAAATTTATCGTAGTTTTAATTTGGGCGTTAATGGGTTAAACAGTATCTGGACTTGACTTCTATATTCTTGTTTATTAGTGCCATGTAATTACGGGTTTAAAAAATAAAGTTATGCTTTATTAAAGAGTACTTAAATATGTCCAATTAGAAGTATAAATCAAAACAGTCTAATCGTGGGCCATGACAGTAAAACGGACAAAATCACAGTTAAAATGTCTTTAAAAAATATTTTAAGTGTGGGAGAGCCATGCTTCGGCACGAATGGGCCGGCTCAACTGGAGTGATACCACGGCCTCACAGAAAACCGACGTAAAGCAAGGCTTGCGTTATGTTTTGTCGTATGAGTGAGTTTACCGGAGGTCCAATTACCTTCCCCTTCCCCAATCTCCCCAATCCCTGAATCCCCAACGATCCCCAAAAAGCCGGTGACGCACTTGTAACGCCTCTGGTGTTCCAGGTGTCCATGGGCGGCGCCGATTGCTTACCATCAGATGATCCGTCTGCTCGTTTACCGGCTTATGCCATAAAAAAAATTACCATCAAATCTCAGGATAAATTTCACAATGTGCAGCAGTATTCTTTAACAAATCGATATTCGATTCGATGTCCTGATTTAGAAACAAACACAATCGTTAAGACATTGTGATCGATCGATTGAAACGTACAATTTCTCAGCACTACTTAGTACTTACCGATCGTTTGAGGTAATTTTCTTGTTATTATGTCTCAATTAAGTTAATTCAGTGGCGACTGTTTTACTATGCATTTGTCATTGTTTATTCACGTTTTAAATAGTAGTGGTGAATACTTGGATTGTATTTAATTAAACGGAATTTGTAAGTAGAAGATTATATTTGGTGTTTGTAGCATTGATGTGTATGTTTAACAAAGAATATTAAAATAGGTTCTTGGTAATAAATAAATTATCAAAAAATATTATGCAAGATATCTGACTAAGTACTTATTGAAAAACAAACTGAAACTACACATTTCACCGGTATTTTAGTATGATATTAAGTTATTGTTATTCTAAGCGCAATAAACACATTGAAAAAATAATATACCTATTATTATTTAACGTTAAATAGTCGCCTGACATAATAATGAAAGCAAACCGACGAACATCGAGTTACTGCTCCTTACTTTTTTACAGGCGCTAAAATGCTATTACTTTTTGACAGGCGTTGTTATTATTACACCCATCACACCATTATGTGTACTTATATTTTGCAGCTGTGTGATAGGTACGTCTGCAACTACTAGACCACATCCTCATATTTCATAAACAAACAAACACATAAAAACCAGTACAAATACCAAACTACAGTGTCCAATGGAATACTGTCCGATTCACAAAGGCTAGGAGCTCTCACAGGCGGAGCATTTCATCAGGTAATAAAACACTCGCAGAGGTTACTTTTCAGAGTGAGTTATGGGGTTAGGTCGGTGGGGCAGGGTTGGGGTTGCCCATACATCACCCGGGGTGGAACGAGGATTACTCCAACATAGACTTTGGCTTGTTAATGCCCGGTAAAGTTTTCCTTCGCGTGATTTTTGGCGAGCTCTTTTTTTTGCTGTGCGGTTTTTTTTCGTGGTTGCGCCGTACGAGGTTGGATAAAGTTGTGTCGTTTTTTCGTGGTTAGCTGCTGTTTTCTAGGTGAACGTTCTTCACATAATTAAAGAGAAAGTTTTTTGAATACGAACATACCATGAAGCAAATATAAAGGAAGATAAGTACAGGGATTTTTCTGTCTTTTCTAACCAATTTCTATATAACGAAACGCTAAATTTCAACAGGTACATAATTTTAAATAGGCCTAACTTAGAATTAGAATAAGTTCCTATAACCAGATCACATAAGATTAACGTACCCTTATACAAAAGCATCTTACTAACTATCGCATAAACGAAATTAACCAACTTCTCGTACAAACACCACTCAACCTGCTCACCCCAGCCAAACACCAGCAATATAAAAGTAAACAACAAAGAAACGCCGTAGTTAACAGCCCAACTGAATATTCATAAAGATAAAAGTGAATTTATGCGATCATAAAGAGCGGGACCGAATGATAAAGACTGGGACCAAGAATGAATGATAAAGAAACTTGTGTCGCTTTTGTACTGCCCTAGTTCTTTTTTTATTATAAATAGTTCTTTTTGCAAGAGAAAGAGGTCCTTAGAGATCTTCGAGGTTAAGAGGTCACAGGCGCAACTGTTGGACCTCAGATCTCAAGTTTTCGATTATGCGCAGTGTCGGGTAGAAACATAAGCTTTTGAAAACAATAAATACAAAGAGTGAAGATCATTTAGCGTCATTTAAATTCCATCCATGCAGAAAAATGTAGATCCAGATCTAGAAAAACACCCAGTTCTGAGAATCTTTTTTTTTTTTCAAATACATTTGCAATCAGCCCCAAGGCTATGAGCAAATCTTCTGTGCGATCTGTCAAAAGTCTGAGAATCTGAGAAGATAATTTGCGTATTTAATGACAAACTCAACTCTCAATTATTACAAAAACGACAACCAAAAAACAAACGCAAAAAAAAAACAAAATACGAACGCCAAACTAGGATCCGTCACAAAAAGCTGAGAGACACATTACGCATGAAAAATTCATGCTGTTACAGAGATTAGCAAGACAACCCCCCCACACTTGTAGGGGGTGAAAATATACAGAGCAAGGTGTCAAGTGGAGAATGAATTTGTCAGTGTGTGATTCCTAGCCGCCCTCCCGACAATATATCACCCAGATACTACGGTACAATGTTCTAAATAATATAATATGTACGCCGTTTAATATTTAAGAAGGTCTTTTTACCGTTTTTTGATTTGTGTTTTTGTGTCCTTATTTCTTGGTTCAATTGTGGACTACTGTTGTTGTTGAATATGTAAGATTTATGACAGGTTGGTATTGGAAATAAGGCAGAGACCTCTGTAAGACCTTTGAAAATTAGGGTAGGTTTTGAAGAACTGTATTTTCAGCATTTCATTTCAGGTAAGTTATCAGCTTTTTTCTACTCTTTGTAATCTAATGTAACATTTGAATCTACATTCCATTTAGAATTCAACCCACTATCCCCAATTAAAAAATATTCTGCATGTACAAAAGTACCACAACAATCGGGTGTCCTACAATATTGTACCGCACTGACTCTGTGGCGTCCGTCTGATTTATAGTGCGATGAACAACTTCCTTCATAAAATACGGCCAGCCCGCTGACACATCGCGTACACCCCTGTTTTTCTACTGAAAACTTATTTTTATTTATATTCTTGCAATTTTTTGACAACCCTTGTAAGATGAGACAGTTTGTAGTTGATGGATCAGTTGTGAAAGGCGTTTAATCAACTGGATCCCGAGTCTGTAGTAGAAGGACATATTTATTTAGTTAGGCGACAATATTACGATTTAGTAACTCACTGTTTTTGAGCTGGAATATTGGATATTATAAACCCTTTTTTCCTACTTAAAGACTATCAAATCATAAAAACATTACCAAGGAAACTAGCGTCCAATATTCTAAAAAGTAAACCCATAATGGAATTCAAGATAAAATGCCTCATTTACATTACATACCGCCTGAAATCTACCTCCAGTAAAGAGGAAATTGTAGCCGTTTGTCATAATAAAAAAGTAAAACCGTAAAACTTTTACGCAATAAAAAAGTATTTTTAATTACTTTTTTTCTTATTTACCTTCCCCGTGGTTCACAAAACAAACTCTTG